TGGAACTGCAAACCACCAAAACAAACCTCTTTATCCCCCTTATCCTTCAACATACATAAGCCTTTTAGTGTTTTCCCTTCTGGTGTAACTCATACCAAATGATGACACTATTTACAGTATCTTCTGCAAAAGGGCAGAGCTCCTATTCCTATTTCAATTAAAGCCCTTGTGCAATTATGCTTTCAAGAAACAATTAACAGAGGAAAAAACTATTTCCCTCACTCCAGCCTTTTTAGAATTGGGTAGTGAGTACCCTTTCTTACCACTAGTGGCATTGAAGTAATTATTTAATGTTAAGGTTCAATTCCTTGGGTGTAAATTTTGGTTTCAGTTGACACTAAAAAGAAACATCAATTTATTAGGAGATAAACTTGTTCTCCAGTAATGGAGCAGCTGTGTCCATAAATTTATTGCAGTTTAATGTTCTCACATATGAAGCAATTAGAGTTTTCTGACAAACAGACTTTGCCATTCAATGATCATGTGCATCGTGGTGAGGATGGCCTGTGAGACGGGAGAGTATACTGTGAGGCTTCCAGGAAAACAGCTGCAGAGACGTAAAATGATAATAATACTAATAATACGCGTTGGGCAAACACAAGTGAGACTCTCTCCTCCATGTGTCTGAATGAAAAGAAAAGCCAAATTTAGTAGTCATGGTGAACCCCGACACTGCAGCTCTCCTGGCAACAGACTCACTTAACATGCCTGGAATGAAGCCTGCTTGGATCCTGAGCAAGGAAGGATACAAACACCTTATCTTTAAGATAAGTATCACCTGATTTTCCTCATCAACAAGGAACAACAGTAGACAGGTGAGCAGTTTAAAATAATTCCAGTTGCTGAATATCTAGGTCACACTTGCCCTGAGAAGACTAAAGCACATTCATGTAAGATTTTGTTTCTCTCCAGACGGTGCCCTCATCTTTCACATACCACCTCTCACGATGAGACGGAGCGGGGGGTGGGGGGACAGAGAGAGAGAGAGAGAAAGAAAAGAGAAGGAGAGAGAGAGAAAGAGAGAGAAAGGAGAGAGAAAGAGAGATAGAGAGACAGCGAGAGCGAGAGCAAGAGCGAGTGATTATTTCTATGCATCCATCCCTTCCCCTCTTCTGCCAGTGTAGTAACTACCTCCAGGTGTTGAAACTCATGGGTTGTGGCTGAGCATGTTTCTGGGAAGACTGATTGAGGCTTAGAACTACTATAAACATATTTTTGTAATTTAGTGACGATTATCATTGTTATTTATAAGCACCTATTAAAAGCCAGGCATTGTGTAAATTGTTGAGAATACAGAGGTGTGACAATGGTTCATTGAATAGACTCAATGGTCAGGTAACAGTAATAGGACATTAAGTGATAAAGTTAACTTACGTTTTTGGGGAAAATAGGAGGGAGTGATCATTTCTTAAGGAAATGGTAGAGTCTAGGCCAGAGGCATTTCCATAGGTTCCCTAAATTTGGGCTGAGTTTGGAGTCAGGTTGAGCCATCAGCCCATGAGAAGGCAAAGCAGGTTTAAGATGTACCAAGTAGTTCCAGGGGTCTCTGGACGGGGCACTAATTATTCTCTAAAAAGAGGCTGCTGAGATGTCCAAATAAACAAGACAGATTGAACACAAGTATGTAGCCTTGACTCTCTTCTAAAACCCCACTAAAATGCCAACAAAGATATAAAAAGTTTTTAAATCACTCAGATAACAAGAATCACAGAGGAGACTACTGCAAATGAAAGTTAAGATTTTAGGAGCTGTCAGGCTAATGGATAGAGCTTAGCATATTGGAAAATGCAGAACCCTAAGCTTACATGAAGGGATACAGTAAACGGCTAAGCGTTGGTTCAGCAGAACCCCAGAAAGACTTGGGAATTGGAGGTACTGGGTACCTCTGAAGATGGGTAACAGGTCAGGGTAGAAGATGAACCTTTGGCTATTGTTGCTTTTCACGGTTTGTTTTTCCTTTTCATCATCTTCAGAAACCACAAAACTTCTAAAAGTGCGTGTGTGTGTGTGTGTGTGTGTGCAGTATATATATTTATATAATTTTATTTTGCTCTCGTGGCAGTAGCCACAGGGTCAATGAAAGGAGCATAGTGCAGCAGTGCTGACCATGGGCACAAGGAGATGCTCTGTGAATTGAGATGTAATGCTGGGACCACCGTATCCAGAGGCAGGAGGCAGATGCAACAGCCCATTCCCTGTGCACAACCTGTGGCTCGAGTTGACGTACAAAAGCAGTACAACAAACACAGCTATTTAGCACAGTCCAAGGGGCCACAGCTCCCACCTGACCTGGAACTGCTCCCACTCTGATAATGTTAAGACAGTACTTTCAGCAGGAAGTGGGAAGCCTACGCAAGGCATGTGACCTCAAGGCCACAGATGAGTATTAAATTGGATGACTGACTTTCTGATTATTATTTTTTTTAGAGAAAGAATCTCACTGTCACCCAGGGTGGAGTGCACTGGTGCAACCATAGCTCACTGTAACCTTGAACTTCTGAGCTCAAGCAATCTTCCTGCCTTGGCCTCCCAAGTAGCTGGGACCACAGGTACAAGTCACTAATTGTTTAATATTTTTTGAGATGGGGCCTTGTTACATTGTCCAAGCAGGTCTCAGACTCCAGTGCTTCAGTGATCCTCCTTTCTTGGCCTCCCAAAATGCTAGAATTCAGGTGTGAGTCGCCATGCCCGGCCATGACTCTCAGATTTTTATAAAGCAGCCACGTGTTCTGGACTTTGCTGCACATCACAATTTCCAGTATTCGAATGCTCATAAAGAGACTGCTCAGGGTCAAACTATAGGTGTAATTTTAAAGTTTTTTAACTTGGAACAAAATGGTCAATAGGAGGTAAGGACTTAAAAGGAAAGGGTTTGTTTGCAAGTTCTCCCACAGGAAAACTCAGAAGCCATGGACAAGACTCACCACTTCACTTGCATGAGAAAATTCCTCATTGTACCCCCAAGTCAAGCCCTCACTAGGAGTGTGGCTGCTGGCATTGGTTGACCCAACTTTGAGAAGCAGCCTCCCAGAGCTCAGCCAGGCCCCTGCAGCTTCCATGCTCTTCTCATTAGACCAAACCACTGCTCAGACACTAAGTAAATTCCTTGTTTCTTTGGTCTATATGAAAGGAAAGAAAGAACAGCTTCTGCACATTTAATCTTACTATAAATGCCCAAGTGAGGAAAAAAGGTAAGCATGAAGGCCCGTCCCACACAATTCATTCCTGTTGACATTCTTTCAGTGGAAAACAGGAGGAAAAGCCCAGCCCTTGAGTATGAATGCAACATGTAAAAACCTGTGCTGAATCATGAACATGATTAGTATAGGAGAAGATCCAAACTGCATTGTAAAAATCTCATTTTATATCTGCTTTAAAACCCTGAGAATAGCTGTACACTGATCTCAGCAAACGTACAAAAGAACACGCATTATCAAGGGCAGAAATTTGCAAGCTTGGTCGGGAAGACACGGGTGATGCGGGGGCAGGAGATCCTGGCTTGGACAAGGCAAGGTTCCAAGGATGAAAATATCCTTCTGCTGGCTGAGTCAGATGCATCTCACATCCGAGTGCCCTCTGTGCTCAGCTGTCTTGGATTCATGCTGCGGTGGAGCTGTTTGTTTACCGGACTTACCTCTCTGGAATTAGGAAGTCAGATTTGGAGGGCAGGGAGCCAGTCATATTCATCTTTGTTTCCTTAGCCCTGATGCCAGTGTCAGATGAGTAAGCGCCCCATGAACTCAAATGAATAAGGACCTGTGATCTACACTGTCCAGCCATAGGCACCTTTTTCTCCCATTTTCTCTTCTTTTACAAGTATTTATATTCTCTCTCTGCACTTCCTGACACAGAACATCATGAGTCCACGTACAATTATTTGTCCCATAAAACTAACTAGAAAGGATTCCTTATTCCCAAATCTGCAGATTTCACAATAAAATGGTTTTGTGTGTGATTCTGCTACCAAACTTGTGACTCACATTTAAAATCTGAAACCATCATCTGCTTCCTACAGAGGGTTCCCTATTCCCAATGACACATACCCAAATGAAGCACTTGGTTTTCATGGTTCTGATACACATAAAAGGGTGACATAAACCATATGACAGAGCAAGTATAACACTGTAATGGAAAGAGATGTTGGGAAATTAGAAAAAGAATTGTTTATTGTGTTAACTACAATTCTAACCCAGTATTTTTCAAACTTTGACCACAACCTACAATAAAAGTGACATTTCATGTAGCAACCAGTACAAAGGTACATAAATATAAAACTGCAACAGATTATGAAATAAACCCATTTCTATATCCAACATACTCCAACATTTTCTATTTATTCCACCTCATTCTCTTTAAACATTGCTGATGTCAGCCTACTCAGACAATTCCAAAGCCTGACAATGTAAGGTAACTCATGCTGTAATCCCAGCACTTTGGGAACCTGAGACAGGAGGATCTCTTGAAGCCCACAGTTTGAAACCAGCCTGGGCAATGAGGCGAGACCTTGTCTCTCCAAAAAGACAGAGAGAGAGAGAGAGAGAGAGAGAGCAAGAGAGAAGGCAAATTAGACCCATGAGGTAGGAAACAACTTTTATTGGAAGCACTGAAGAACCTAGAATCTTCTGACGCCATCTCTCTCCATTTCTTCTCTCTTTGGCATCTTCACTCCCACAGTTTTCTTGAATAGCTTCTGTGTGTTTGATTCACTATTCTTTCCCATCTCATATTGCCCATGTGGTTAAGGCCAGGATGAAAGCTAAGCAAGATGCAGGGTGGAGCCCCGGAGACATAAAGAAGCAACTGCTGCCCAGGCCTGACTGGGTCAGTTCGGCTTCATTCTGAAAGGCAAGGGGAAGACTTACAGCCCACCTGTAAGAAACCGGGTTCCAAGCCCTGGCTAGTGATAAAGAGTGTGGATGTGGCAACTGCCTCTGTGATGATTCTCCTAGAACGCTGTCCAACAGAACCATCTGCCATGATGGAAGTGTTCCGAATCACTTGTTACTATGGTTGCCACTAGCTACAAGGGGCTATTAAGCACTTGATGTTGGCTAATTCAACAAAGAAATGAATTCTTACATTTATTTAATTGTAATTCATTGAAAGTTAAAGAGCCAAATGTGGCTGGTGGCTTCCACAGTGGACAGCATAGCCCTTGAACCTATCAAAGATGGGTAAGAGAAATGAGATTGAAAGGCTTTGGGACAAGTGAGAATTTGGAGATATTGATGCTGGCCGTTATCTTTCCACCAGATACTTCCAAGGATGAAGACTGAATTGCAGCATTTTGCGTTCTCAAGTCTTGAAAAACAAAAAAAGAATTTATAGAACTGAACAACTACAGAGATTCAACTATGAAATGTATTCACTTACCAGTGAATAAACAATTCCTTTCAACTAGAACTACAGCAAAAGGTGTTGTACAAACAGTTGCATGTTCTTTTAAGGGGAGGGGAGGCAAGAATCTAGTTCATTCTAAAGTTTTGGGAAGACCTAGGTTTTAGATTCTGCTTTGTCACTGATTTGCTGAAGACCTGGAGGAGGTTATAAGTATTCTTTTTAGCTTCTACAGCTACACATGGGCTGTTGAGTAGTAAATGAGTTGGTGTAAGTAGGAGAAGCACTCAATGCTGTGGTTTATGGTAGTTATTCACAAGTCAATAGTGTGTGCACTCAGGCAGATGTGCAAATAACTCTTTCCCTCGGCCTTAGGATAACTACCCATTAAATCGCATAGGTAGAAAGAAGGCTAAGTTTATTCATTTTACATCCCTGTAACTCCCAGGAAATGATGAGATAATCAAAAAAATGTGGGAGATATGATAATCTGAATAGCAAATGTTCCAGCTTCTTACATCTAGGCAACTAGGAAGTCCGAAAGCTGGAATATGGCTGGTCAAAATCAGAAGTTCTCTGAACTAAAAGACAGTTTCAACAAAATCCTTATCCATTAGTGTATCTGCAACACACAAAGCTAACATAGCTATTTAGCACTTTCTATACATGAGGTCCTATTCTAGGCACTTGGGCATCACAATCATTCTAGTAGGTGAGTACTATTATGGCCATTTTATAGATGAGGTTAACTGAGAGAGATTGAAAGTGTGAGTAACTTGCCCAAGACCAATAGCTAGTAGGAAGCAGAGTTGGAATTCAACATGGTGCACACTTTTCATGACTGCACGATATACCTCCATATGAGCAGTGGGTTCTGTGTGGAGGGCAGTTATCTTAACACCTTCACCCAGGAGCTTATGTTTAAATAAGCATGTTAATAGCATCAAGGGTGCATGGGTAGAACTGAAAAATCATAGAGGACTAGAGAGAAAGTAGACAGAATATTACAAAAACAGACTAAAATATTTTAACATTTTGGAGTTATTTAATATAGGGGCAACCAGTTCCTTATGTCTTATTAACTCAATAAAATAATCAATGCAACAATGCAAATAGATGGCCTAGCACTATAAAGTAAGGTTCAATGATCATTTGAATGCATTATTAAGAAGGCAGGGAATCATTAAATCCTAAACATAGGGAAAAACTTTGATTCTTAAAAGTAGTAAGTTTTGGTTATTAGGATGATTCACTGTATTGAGCACATTACACACTCAAGCAGAACTAATGAGGCTTCAGTTAACGAAGCAGATTGATCTCAACGTCCTCTAAGCACTGACACTCAAGAGACAGGATACAGCTTTGTACAATCAGTAGGCACCAACACATCAGCCTTCAAGAGAACTTTAGTTTCAACATTGCTGTTGATTACATTCTTTAAAATGTGCTAAAATAATGGGCAATTGAAACATTCTTAAATTAGATCCAACACAGTGAATAATTGCTGTGCAAGTCACACTACATTTTATAGACTGTTCCTGAACTAAACAAGATGCAGAGATTGCCTTAAAAAGGTATAATCTTCTGTAATTTTTTTTTTGGTGTTCAAAGCAATTGCTTTCCAATGGAAAAATAAAGCAAGAGAACAATGGTGCACATCTCCAGACTTCGTACCAACATGCAAACTTTGACTGTTCACGGTATGCAGTTATTAACAACTGGACTAAAGGACAGTATCGCCATTAACTTACCACAACCTCATCTGAAAAGGAGTGAAGTGCCTTTGGAACCTATTTCTAGTACCTAGATCTAACTGAGGGAGCATGTGGAGAAAGACTTAATCATCATATATGAGGTTAAGTTTTAGGCCAGTGCCCACTAGAAAGAATTATAGTTAGAAGAGAGACTCAAGGCCAGGTGTGGTGGCTCATGTCTATAATCCCAGCACTTTGAGAGACTGCTCAAGTACAAGGACTGCTTGAGCCCAGAAGTTTGAGACCAGCCTGGGCATTATAGTGATACCTTGTCTCCACAAAAAGAATTTTTTTAAATTAGCCAGGCATGGCAGTGCACACCTGTAGTCCCAGAAACTTAGGAGGCTGAGGTGGGAAGATCACTTGAGCCCAGGAGGTTGAGACTGCAGTAAGCCAAGACTATGCCACTGCACTCCAGGCTGGGCAACAGAGTGAGACCCTATCTCAAAAAAAAAAAAAGAAAGAAGGAGAGAATCAAGTTAGAATGAACATAAAATGAGGAGGAGAGTGACTGGGAAGAAAGTGCTCAACTGAAATTCGATGCCAAGAGAGTAAAGAATGAAGTAATTCAACTATTTTTACAGTGTAGAGTAAACGTCACACTGTTACCCAGTGTAATGCCTACATGACCTAGGTAAATCTCTACCTGCCTTAATCCTGCTTTACTTTAGGAAACAGGATGCCTGAACACAAAAATTCCCCTCATAACCAAACTGGCTAAGACTGGTGGAAATCCAAAGATGGTGGCTCAGTTGACCTCTAAGGAACCTCTACTTTCATTGTAATCTAACTTCCATGCTAAATGACACTCCCACCAGCACCATGACAGTTGACAATCACTATGACAATAACTGGAAAAGAACAAAAAGGAAAGTGGCAACTCTGGTTCCAAGAAGTTCTCCATTCATTTCAAGACATGAATATTCCTTCCTTTGCTTTTAGTGCCCAACCCATTCATTAAAGATGCTCTGTATCTGTGACTTCCTGGCTTTCGTGAGCTGAGAAGCTGGTCTGTGAGCCAAGCTCCCACTCCACAATTCCATGGCCATCAAATTAAAGCCTGCATTGCTTGACACTCACTTTCTGTTTTGGGTATTAGCCCTGAAGCACCAATCAGGGAAAGAGCCCATTTTGGTGGAACCCGCTTTGTCAGTAATATTAGTGTTATGCCTATAAGAAATACAAATATGAATAAAATATAGTCATTGTAGTTGGAAACACATGACATATATGTACATATGATAGAGGCAGGAGAAGAGAACTCTCGTAGGCAGGTAGAAGAGGGTCCCTGAAGAATCTCCGACCTGCCCCACAAGGGTTCATACCAGACGTTTTGTGCAGATAAGGCGACCTGCACGGGGAGCTTGCCTGAACATGCTACCAGCAGACTAAGGACCAATGTGCACACTGAGGGGAAGGGTTGAAGCCACCAGGAATTCATGCCTTATACAAATAGGGAACCCAGCCCAACAGCTTGGATATATAGAAGCTCTTGTATTCTACTGGAAAGCGAGGCAACTGGCAACCTGCTTTCAGGACCTGTCTTTTTGCTGAGAGCTTTCCTTTTCATTTAATAAATTATATTCCACTCAATCTTTGATATCCACATGCTTAATTTTTCCTGGTCTTGAGACAAGAACCTGGACATAGCCAAGCTAAGGAGTTTAAAAAAATCCTGTGTCACATACACATACACATGTGAGTATGTACACACACATACTCGTGTTATTACATGCGTTTTGGCAGTGCCTACTATGCCATGTGTTACGCAAAAAGTGATCGCTAGAAGACGTATGTTTCCTGTCCTCACAGAACAACTGTGCTAATAAATCAACTAGAATTGTGTCATGTGCTGGGAAGAAGAACACAGTGTCACTTGATTGAATTAATCTTGCTGCATTCACCTGAATTCTGACTGTGTGAAATACATGGAAATGACTAGTAAGGAAACCCCACACAAATTTGACCTGATAGGCTACAAGGGCCCCACAAGGAAGCAAAGTGTCCTCTAACGGGCACCCTGCTGACTCTCCTCTGTTGACTAAAATGTTCATTCTCCATGATTGTTGAGGAGTTAGGCAAACTACTGCTCATCTTTTATGTCTATTCGTTTGCTCCATTCCCATTAATTGGCTGGTATAGCCCATATCAATGATCATTTTCATGCAGCAAAATCTACCTCCCCAGCTCTATATTCTCATCTAAAAACCACATCACTTATTCTAATTGCCTGGTGAGTGTTTCACCTGAATATGCTGACAACATTTTGAAACATACACATACAAGAAAGATTCATCTTTCTCTCCTAACTTTCCTCTATCTCTGTTATCCCTATATTGGTTAAATGCTGTCACTATTCTGTTTTTAAAATCAGTCACTTGTTTATTTCCTTCCCTAAAGCTTCCCTCAAATTGAGTGAGCTGGACTTACAGATATGAAGTACTTTCTTGCTGATAAAATATGAAGCTTTGAAACAGTTGTTCTGTTGGAGAAAATTAATTAGAAAACAAAATTAAATTCAGCAATAGAGCTTGGTGTGCTCCAAAGCATGGACTATGCTTTCTTAAGTCTCGATTGATGTTAATTCTTTCCCTGAGTCTCAAGGCAAAATTCCATTTGACCCTAACAGCAGCAAACACCACAAATCTCACTTGCATTAAAAAGAGCTCAGGCCTACATGAGATGGCTCACACATGTAATCCCAGCTCTATGGGAAGCCAAGGCAAGAAGATTGCTTGACACCAGGAGTTCAAGACTAACCTGGGTAACATAGTGAGATACTGCCTCTACAAAATACATATATATATATATATATATATATATATATATATATATATGTATATATATATATTTTTTTTTTTAATTAGCTGGGACATAGTGGTGTGCCTATAGTCCCAACTACTCAGGAGGATAAGAAGGTGGGGAGCAATTGCTTGAGTCCAGGAGTTTAAGCCTAAAGTGAACTATGACTATGCCACTTCACTCCAGCCTGGATAACAGAGTAAGATCTGTCTTAAAAAAAAAAAAAAAAAAGTAGCAGCTCAGAAAGGACTCTACACCCATGTACCCTGGCTGGGAAGCCTGAGGCCACTTCCTTCCTCCAGGATGAGTGTCCACTCACAGAACACCAGACAAGCACCCCCTCAACACACACAACAGCCAACCTATAATTCTCCTTAAATACTTCTTTTTTAAGAACACCAACTAAACATAAACCTTAAAGATGGTTTAAGGTATGTTTTTTCCTCCATTCCTCCTTAAGGAAAGGTGGCTGGCACAATTCAGCATCAACATGCTGAATATTCTAACTGAAACCATATACTCTGTTGGAGTCACTATTTGCAAACAAAACTATCACACTAGTTAAGGAGGTGATTTGTGAGAACAAATAAAAGACGCATGACCAATTTGTCTTTGCAGTCATGATGTAAACCTGGTGGACAACTAAAGATTTATACCTGCTACAGCGTTTAGCTTGGATTTTCTGCTGCTTATGGGCCTGGGTCTGTGTGTCTGAGGCAATAACCCGTCAAGGAAATCTCCCACTTATCCACTATAGCCAATTAGACGTTATTCACTAATAAGTATTATACAGACCTCACCTCTAAAAAGTCTGACTGTAATAAAGTATCCTTAGCTCAGAATTACACAGAACACCTCAGGGTCACTATGAACATCAACCATGGTTGCACGAGTCTGCCAGCATGTGCATTTGGGGTGTGGTGGGTTACTGCGCTAGACTGCATGCTACACAATGCACAATTAGCCTTCCAGCAATGCCTTTTCCTACGACAGTCTACACTAGGAACAGCACTGAGTGGCTTTTGTGAAAAGGTGCTCCATACATGACAAAACTTTTTCCTTCTCTGAAGAAAGATGAAACATTAAAAAAAAAAAAAAAAAAAAAAAAAAACTCAAAACCCTCAAGTCCTGAAATTATTTCTACAGTTAGCAGTAGAAAATGGCAACTTCAGGTATATGTAAGAAAGAACATCTTAAATGAAAAAAAAAGTGAGAAAGCACATTGAAAGCAGAATCAAATAAAATAGAAAAATGTTTTGCTTAAGGGTAGTTTTTTCTTTGATATATGCTAAGCTTATTCTACTTCAGCCAGAATAACTTGTTTATGCTTGAACATGTCTCCAGGAATGGAAGGCCATTTTATAAGATGCATTTAATTTCTCATTTGTTTTCTAATTTAATTATTTTGATAGCTCATTTGTGTCCTTTGATACAATAATTAACTCTTGATACTAATTGAAATATCCACTGACCCTATGTCCCCAAATCAGGTACTACCATGAACAAAAAAAAAGGGTGACCTTTGGCCTTCATGTTCCCAGGGATGCAGGAGTCACATGTTGAAACACGGATTTTTTTGAGCAAAGGTCATGCCACTAGTAATGGCTGGATCTGTTTTTTTTTTCTTAATGAAAAGGCTGAATATTTGATAGAATGGTAACACGTGCTCCATCTTCATTTTATAGCTTTGGTATCTGTTGCCGAAATAGTGTTCTGAGATGTGAAGTTTAAATATTTTATAAAAAATGCCTCCTCCAACAGAAATGTTAATAATTTAATATATGAGAAACTACATGAAGTTTCAGAAATAGTTATTTAGTGGTAGTTTCATATTTGATAAGAAAGCCTAGATCACTCCCTTGCTGCAAACTCTGATTTAAAAAGGCGGTTTTTTTACAAAATTACCTTAGTAAAAAAACATGTCATGGTAAACACTAATTTTAAAATGACTTTCTGATTTTTTGTTTTTTGCCTTAAATCCAGAGAACTGAGAGCCTGTTGATGAGCAATGCCAACATGTTTTGCCAAAGCGTGATTTTGATATTCAAACCCACACACTGCTACGTGATTCCATTTAGCGAATACTTCCTAAGACACTGGTGGGCCTCTCTAGGGCAGGCGTGCGACCTGGTAAGTCATCGGGAGGGCGAGGAGCTGTGCTCTGATGTTGTCCTGACAGGCTCTCCCTGGACAGGGTTCATTGGTTCCGAGGTGGTTACTGAAAAGAGCAGCTATAATCAACAGCTGTGTCCTGATGTTTTGCCAATCTGTGCTCATAAAACATGACGTTTGGTAACATCTTTCAAACACAGTTTGCCTTTGTCTTTTCAACACCAAAATTCCCACTTCTGTATTTTCCTTCATCTAAGAATTTCTAAATAGTTTGAGGGCATTAATTATGCCATACAAAATCCTCTCACAGTAATTATTGATGTTCCTGCCTCCTAATTATGTGTAATACCAACAAATCCGCTTTCTATACTGGATGGCACCAACGCTACCTACAAGTATCTGCTGGCTTGTTGACTAATAAAGAGCTCTCAAATGTAGACTACAGAATTTTCTCTGCTCTGCATATTGCTTTTGCACGTTAAATTGTGGTGCTGAGCTTTTCTATCTAAAATGCGTCTTCTGTATACAGTACACACTTTCCCCTTTGAGTAGAAATTAAGTTTATCAGCTACATTTCTTGATCAATTTCAGAAAAACTAGGGCTAGGTATATCAAAGAACAGGAACAGCTGCTAGGAAATTCAATTTCTATGTGCTGTGCATTGCCAGAAATACAAAGATTTGTGCAACCTTTACTCTCAAGATGCTTACAATTGCACAAGATAAAAGGTAGAGCATAGTACACAAATAAGCTCCGTTTTCCATGATGGTGACAAAAGGAAACAGAAAGGTAGCCTGGGAGAAGACACACAGGAGAGCAGGAGATGACAAAAGAAGCTGGATGTTCTGGTGGTAAACTTGGAGTTGAAAGTTCAACTCTTGGTTTTACTGACAAATATAATGAGAAACTTGAAAACCCTAAGGGTATGATACATGAGCCAAGGGGATGGACAGAGGAGAAAACTTTGAGGTGGTCAGCTGTTCCTCCTCACTTCTAGGGACCAAATGGAGAAAAATGGGCATTTGGGGATTTATAGGAGAGAAAAAGAATGCCTTTCTGACAGCAAGACTTATTCAACTCATGATGGAACAGATTAGAGAAGGAAACTATGAAGACGTCATCTGTGAAAGTCTTTGAAACTGGGATATAGTTTCAACAGCCTGAAGAATGGCGTGAAGGACGGCATGCACAGACTCGAGGAAACCACAGTTAAGGCATTACCGCATTAAACTCCGACAACTGAATGAAGGCTCCCTGAATACCTCTGCCTGGGGTTCTCTAAGAATAATGGCCATAGTGGGCCACCAGCTTCTCTTACACAGCCTCCACTGTCCTGCAGTATGTATCTGCAGGGTGCCCAGCAAAGAGGAGCCCAGATTATAATCAGAGAAGCAAGGCTCAGCTTCTGTGTGACATTGCAGAATCCTTAACAAACTCAATCCACAAACTCAAGTTTGACATCATCAGACGTTTATGACTTTTCAGAGCTAATTTAGGACACTTTTGTTGTTGCTATTTTTGAGATAGGGTCTGTCTCACTCTGTTGCCCAGGCTGGAGTCCAGTGGTGAAATCACAGCCCACTGCAGCCTCCAACTTTTGGGCTCAAAAGATCCTACTGCTTCAGCTTCCCAAGTAGCTGCGACTACAGGTGCACACCACCATGCTCAGCTAATTTTAAAATTCCTTGTAGAGATTGGTCTTGCTGTGTTGCCCAGGCTGGTCTAGAACTCTGGGGTCAAGCAATCCTCCCACCTTAGCCTCCCAAAGTATTAATATTACAGGTGTGAGCTACCATGTCTGGCCCTTAGGATACTTTTTCAGTCATGGGTCTATTCATTCAATAACTTCACTGAGTGCCTAATCTGAGATAGGTGGTAGAGATAGAGCTGCACAAAACAGTTATTACCCTGGGGAAGACTGGCATGTGAACAGTTAATTACACACCACTGTGACAAACATTAGGACAGAGGTAAGCCTAGAATGTGTGGGAAGCACAGATTGTAGACACTAACCCTAGACAGAGGGGCCCAGGGAAGGATCACAGACAGACATGGGTAGATCTTGAAGGAAAGAGGCAGCTGAAGGAGGACAAAAGCCTTCTTTCTAGATAAAGGGCATGGCATGATTATAGACATTCCATGTCACAACACAAGGGGATTATGAGAAAGCCCACAGCAAGAGGAAAACTGGCAAAAACACCATCTAGACTAGAGTTCTATTTGCCTTCTACTGCCAAGGTTGCTTTTTAAAATATTTAAGTAAGACCTTCAGCCTTGATTAGTGCATCTGTCATATGAATATGTATTTGCTGGCTCCCTGGAATAATGTGCTAGACGCGGAATTCAAATGCTCTTTCATTTACCAATGGCTACTTGGAACTGTAATCAAGCCAGGTCGCCTAATCTAAACAAACTCACTAAATTTAGGAATAGATGTCTAAATAGAAAACATGATTAATTTGATCATTGTTTTCCTACACCATAAACACTCACTGTTTATTCATGACATATATTCTCGTATGTATACACATGTTTATACACACTATCCATCCATCAAAAAAAGATGATATCCATACAATCATTGAATGTATAATGTGACAAGCTAAAACTCAAGCTTGACTGAAAGGCAAAAAGAAGGTTAATGGATTTTTTACATTCCCTGGTTAGACATCAGCTCAAACTGAAACACTCAAAAAAGATAATCAAGGTTGCCTTTTTTAGTTCATCACCCATTGAGGCATTTGCAGCATCATGTACAGCAATTTATTCTCTCATCTTCTGTTCACATTGCTAAGAGTTTAGATAATACTAAATATGAACAAGATCTCTGCAGGAGCCCAAAATAAAAAATTTCACAAAGTGATATTAATTTAACCTGTAGAAGTAAGGGAGAAAAATGTTAATGTATGTTTAGTAAGAATATGGAGTTTGACAATGCTGCGGCAGCGTGTTCATTGTTTCAGTGCATGAAACTACATGGTCCTACTCCACCCATCCTCCCTAAGATGTATACAAAATAAATTATTCACAAATAGAATCTGCACAGTCCTGCATCAACATTCAGAGTTCTCAGGCCAGGCATCATGGCTCACACCTGTAATCCCAGCACTTTGGGAGGCCAAGGTGGGTGTATCACCTGAGGTCAAGTGTTCAAGACCAGCCTGGACAATATGGTGAAAAACTGTCTCTACTAAAAATACAAAAATCAGCCAGGCATGGTGGTGCATGCCTGTAATCCCAGCTACTCAGGAGGCTGAGGCAGGAGAATCGCTGGAACCCAGGAGGTGGAGGCTGCAGTGAGCCAAGATGGAGCCACTGCACTCCAGCCTGGGCAACAAGAACAAAACTCTGTCTCAAAAAAAAAAAAAAAAAAAAAAAATTCAGAGTTTGGATAACACTAAATATGAATAAGATCTCTGCAGGAGCCCAAAGAGATCTTTGGGCTGTCAACCCAAATCCCAGCTTCTCTAGGTCTTTTCAGTGACTTCTTCCTATTTCTCTCTTCCCCAATCTCTCTACGCTTATGAAAGATTTAGTAAAAAGAGATTTTTTTTGGACAGGCAATTGCTATTGTAACACAACCTTCTCAAGGGTTAAGTGTAAATGAATCAGAAACATGTGGCTTAAATTTCCCACAAAATTGAATTCATATGGGCTTAGATATGAAAGGAAAAATAGTATTTTCCAAAACATGACTTGAGTTTTGAAAAACTCCAAGGGCTGGCAAAATAGCTTAGGTATTCACTTAACTTTTAACTATGGCTAGAATCACTAATCCATAGTACTATAAAACTTCATTCTACTAAACAATGTGTCATGCTCAGAGAAAACTGTATCTATAGAGATTAAACAACCACCTTCACAATTTTGTAAAAAGCTCCAACAGAAAAGGATGAGAATGGAACACTAAATGCTTAATGCAAGTATCTGAGACGAGTGATTTCTACCATGTATGTGCATGTGTGTTATTCAGGGATCTTGCAAATTCTGATTCAGCACATCTGGGGTGGGGTGTGAGAGTCTGTGATGCTGAGGCATGGACCACATTTTGAGTAGCAAGGACTCCGATCCCCCATGCTATATGTCACAACTCATTGCACAAGTCAGTTTATACTGTTACAAATCTCCTGAGATTTGTCATTATTTGGTGACCAAAAAAAAAAAAAAAAACCCACCCAAGTGAAATGACATAAATGGGAATTAAAATATCTTGCTAAAAACGTACAGATAATTGCTGTGAAATTTACATAACAATATTCACTGATTAGAAGTAATGAGTAATGTATTCATTATTACATATGAACAATGAGAAAACAAATAAGAAACAGTAAATATTCATCACTACCAGCTCTGCTACTACTTTATATCCTACTCCATTGGGAAATCCTTTTATGAAATCTTCCAAATCACTTCAGACATCAGAGATATTGCCAATTTTGAATTCAAGCACTTCTTTGTTTACCGCATGACTAATTAGTCGGGAATCGTCTAGCCCTATTGCAGGCATTAATTTTGCACATATGGATGCCTTATTTTCACAACTACATCTGAGCCTCTGTGAGGGTGTGGGTTGTATCTTCCTCCTTCCTAAAATCCCTGCAGTCTTGCAACATGGCTTCCCGATTGACTGTGAAATCAACTGCACATCCTGTATAATCAGACAGAGTATTGGCAAACCTCAGCTTGGAATATTTCAAGGCCATGCAATAAGCAAACCACGTCCATAGTATCAGGATTTGTGGTGTTCAGGTTGTAATAAATGCAGTTTTGTTTGTCAACGGGGATCAAGCGTTGAGAGCAGGAGTGAACTTTGGGAGCTGCATACAAAAACATCCGATGATCTGAGAACACATTTAATACTTATCCACAGGCTTGACGAAAACACTGTAACTTCTTTCCTCCCTCAGCCCATTTTTCATATATGCAACTTTACAGGAATCTTGTTAAGATGAAGAATGCTATCATTTTCCTCTTGAGTAAACTGAAGTATAGAAGAAACCAACTTTTACATATACCAC